TACACTTTATATATGAAACAGCTTGAATCTACCGAAAGAGTTATGGTAGTGTTGTAACTTTATAAAAATTTATTCACTTCTTAGTTATAGCAAATATATATATAGAGAAATAGTTTGAAAAACAGATTAACTTCAAATTCTCTTGCGTCAAAATAAATGGAAAGCTGATGTGAAAACTTAAACGAGAGAAGCAAACTATATTTAATGCGCAACTTAAATAAAGATAAATGTGAATCTTTTGACAACTCCTATTTCTTTCGCGACTGGCAGACGTGACTGGCATTTTGCTTTCGTTAAATTCAAAGCAAAAAAATGTCTTCTCAGCTAAGTAGTTACTCTCGGATGGCAGAAGAAATATGACCACTTTATGCATTTGCGAATGAGAATGCAATTATTCCTTTTGAGGATTAAGAAATATTCCATCATTTTTTTCATTAGTTGAATTAAATACAGAATTCTTACTTAGTATAGTTATGTAAGTTACTCTAAACCGTTGGAAACTCAAGTTCACCAGACAGGGGATGTTTATGAACGTCTAATTAGTAACGATAAGAGAAGAAACAAAAACTGATGCAATAAGGTTTTGAACTGGTTTCGCACATTGTTTAGATAAGGATTAAATTGTTTACATGTCACACATATACTATTTCGGCTGTGAGGAAGCTTTTGTTTCTGTAAATGTCTTTTAATACAAGTGCAAACATATTTAATGGATAAATATTTAATAATAAAAAAGGTAGAGAAGTTCAACGCGTTAATTAGAAGAAATAAGTAAAAATTCTATAGCCAGCTGGAGTTTCATTAAAGCTTAGACCAACATTTTCAGAGCGTTACATATCCACCAGCGGAGGAGCGGTAAAATCTCTGAACACTTTTAGTTCTGACTTGGATTCAATTCCAGGAGAACGGGCTGGCTGCATGGGCGTTTTCGCGGTTTTCTCCTTGTATAACGTGTATATGAGTCATTTCCCTGAGAAAATCTTCCGCGAAGACATCTGTCCCCTTAGGCAGCTACCCCTAGTGTGCTTTACCATAACAACTAAACCAAGCCCAAGCGTTAAATTACGGTGGTTAATAATTCGCACTGCAGTTGCAAAGGCCAAATACTTGACCTTCATTCATACGGCATTCGTAAAATTCTTCGTGGATGCATTTTGCATATATAGGACAAATCCGCAGATCTTTAAAAATTCAGCACTAGCGAGCATACAAGTTATACCGTGCTAGATTTAGACTTGATGAGATCCTAAGCTATTTGAGGTATGGAGGCTTTTCTAAGGGGTATGGGACAGTTCTTTTAGAAGACCTCTACGTTTTGGGTGCCTTAAGTTATAGCTTGGATAGCTTATACGCAAATAAGAAACTGAGTTATGCTAAAAAAAAGAAAGTCGAAAGTTCAACTGCTTTCAATTGTTGGGAAAAGAAGTATGATTTTCAGTTTTCATAGGCTAAAATGATTGCTTAAACTGTTCATCTTACATCCTGGATTACTTAAAAGCTACTGAAAACTTCCTGCAAAGAAATCTCATTAATAATGGAAATTCTTAGTATTCCCAGCTCCGCCTTCATTCTTTTGACCAGTTGTTACAATTCTTTCATCTAGTACTAGGTTTCATCGGGTTCGTCACCCCAAAAACAGTTAAACTAAGTTCTTACGAAATTGCAGTCAGAGATAAAATTTTCGCTTACTGTATAAAAGATTTTTTGTTTGCATATATGTGCAAGTTATTACGTTGAACCTTTTTCACTTCCTTGCACGAAGTAAAAAGAAAGTATTCTAATCGCGAAAAATTTCGGGTATCATATTTCAACGAAAATATCCATTTTGAAGGCTATCGAATGCAATTTAACGATGTTTTCGCATGATATCTGCACGTAAGGACAAGAAAAGAAACTCTTTTCCAAAAGCAAAATTATAAAACTGATTAATAATGAATTTTGAAGAGAATGTTTCCTGGCGTCTGTACGTACATATCTCGCATAACTCAAAAAACGAGTAGACTCAGAACGTTGAAATTTTGTTTGTAGGACTGCTATAACATACATGTGCACCTCTTATTTTGATTGCAATCGGCCGCAATTGTAAAATATCAACAACAGAAAAGTTTCTTAAGTGCGGCTAAACCTACTTTTTGATTACCATGACGGCCATGTTTGTTTACATTTGAAACTTAGCAGAATAATGGATTTGTTGCCAATCCAGAAAAACTAAGCTTCGTAACAACAGAGATAATGCCTGCATTTATTATTGCGAATTAGATCATGCTTAATGCAGTATGGAATTTATTCGAGGAAATAAGTGTCTAAGTTTTACTTCGTAGTTTATAATATATATATTTTGAGTTTTTATGTATTTTTGCATTGTCGAGAAGTGAGAACTGAATTAATTGAATGAGAAATACTGAATCGTCTGTGAAAAACTGTATCTTTTTTGTTTGTTTTGTTTGTTTGTTTAATTTCTTTTATAAATCGTTTTAGATTTATTACAGTATTTGAATAGAACATGTGGCAACGATTAGATAATTCTTCAGATGATATAAATTTTGTGCATTCTAGAAAATGAATAAAATGTAACGCTGTTAAATGAACCTAGCACCAGAGTGTCACTATGATAAACAAATATAATTCATTTTAAAGAGTGCATTTATTCTGTTGCAGTTTATGCTGTATCGACGAAGTAGATTTAATTCAATCCAATAAGTTTAAATAAAATGCAAGGAAAAATGCGTATAATTTAATATTTCGTACAAGGAAGTCATGTGGTGTACACATGAGATATTTTTTCTTCAATTCTTTCATTTTTTTTAGCCAAAAATGAGCTTTTAGTCTTGAAATCGAATTTTGCGTCGAATCACTATAAATGCGTCGTTTCACTTTCCATTAGAGTTTGTTGTAATGTGTCAACATAAAAGATATTATCAACATTTTCAACTGATATCAACTGATTATCAACATTATCAACTGATATTTATCAAATTGTAAGACCCTTACATTCGTTGGATGTCTGTGGCGCATCGGACTGCATCTGCAACAGATGACAGAGCTTTTGTTCGCACCAAGTGACAAAGCAGAATGAAACAAATCGATTATTGAGGAACAGCTCAGAGCAGGATGCCCTGTAGCGGCCACACCACCGACTCCAAATAACCGCCATCTGCGACGTCGGTTGTTTTAAGCTAGAGCTCATTGGATGGTGGAGTGAAGATCGGTTTTGTTCTCAAATGAGAACTGTTTCTGTTTTGGTGCCACTGGTAAGAAGGAGGCCAAATGGGAGCTTGGAACCCATGTGTCTGCGGTATAGACATATTGAGCTTACACCAGGAGTTATGGTCTGGAGAGCACTTCTCTGAGACAGTAGGAGCACTCTCATCGTGATTCCAATCACCTTGAGAGCAAATTTTCGCGTTAGACTGCTGATTGCAGAGGTTGTGCTGCCATTTCACCCAACGTGCTCAGCAGAGAGCTGACACGTTGCCTTGGCCTGCGAGATAACTCGATTGTTCTCCCATCGAGTATGTATGGGAAATGATTGAATGATGAATCCAGCATCATCCACAAAAGTTACTGATTTGACTAACCAAGTGCAACAGGTATAGGAATCCATCCTACAGAATGACATAGGACACCTGTACAAACAAATGCAGGTGTTTATTAGAGTGCACTAAACATCGTAGCAATTTTAAAGAGACCACTATTTGGCATTTGAAATGACTCGTCTCGCGCATACTGTAACCTGTGGCCTTGAAACATTAAATAAATAAATTACTTAGATATATGCTTTGCCTACATTTCATTCCTCTAAACTCAGGAGTCGACAGCGTTCTTTGGTTGCAGGTTAAAATCAGCTAAAATGTGTGTATTAGTAAGACGTTTTGGGTGAATGGTATTTTCATTTTAGAACAGTCTTTCTTGGTGAGAAATAAGATGAATGTTACTTAAAAATGATTACAAAACTAAAATTATAATTTTAATTATTAAGAAAAGTATAATTAAATTTATTTTTCTCTTCATTATTAATGGCTCCTTTGATGCTGAACTTGTGACGTCAATTTAGTCAAATCAGTCTTATAGTAAGTCGTCTTAAGACGAATAAAAGTATCTGATTTTTCGGTAGTTAAGCTGCTTCTTTTCTTACTTAAAATAAATTTCATGTGTGAAGACTGAAAATATTTGCTGCAATTTATAAGCCGAAGCGAAACGTAGACAAAATGTGGAAAGCTAAATTGTGGATTGGTGTTGCCAAACTTATCGATTTTCCCTTGAAATTATGATACAGAGTTTTCAATAAAATTAGATTTAATTACTGCAACTTCATAATCAAACGATAATATAGTTATTATTTTTTATTTTCGGCCTATTTTACGCATTTTTCAAGTGCTTTTTTCATATTTACGTTTTATAATTTATTTTTGTGCAATATTATTTATTTTCGGAACTCAAATTGGCCACTTGAAATTATGAAATGTGTCACTCGGTGATCCGAGGGTTATAGCTTGCCGTGGCCTGCTCTAAACGGATGTTTTCTTGGTGTTGGAATTTATTTTTTATTAAATAGGAAACTCAGGAAGAGAAACTTTTAATTAAAAAAATTTTAATATGTAGTGAAGTTTTCTTTTCTTATTATTCTTACATGAGATATTCGAGAGAATCTCTTAATTTCTTTTAATTTTAATAATGAATTTTAATTCGAAAAAAATTAAGGATTCTCACAACTTTGAAAAAATATAACTAGCCCTTAAAGATGAAAATGAAAGTTAGGTAATCGCTGCAGATGAGAGAAAACATTCGCTTTCGGAAGCCATAGTTTACAACACCACTGAAGAGATTCACGTATTCTTGATTCTAATTGCAATGTGCGCCTTAAAATTTGTACGTGGATCCCCTATCCCGATTTACGCATTTTTAAAGATATTGCAGTATGTATTATTGAACGCATATAGCTGACGTTTACGTGTGAAAAATCTTGTAATATATTTTACTATAAGTAGAACAAAACTTACCTTTTTGGTTTCTCTGCGACTTTAATCGCACGACAACTGCAATAATGGCACAAAGTAGTAAAACTGTTACGACTGTTCCGACCAAGATGCCAATCAAATAAGTGAGATCTGCTTCGTCCTCTTCAGCTGAAAATATTTGAGGCAAAAATATTTTAATAGTTTTGAAAGATGGACGTTTTGGTCGATCATCATTGACAATATTCAATACAGTTACTACCTCAAATTTATATTGAAGTCAAAATTGATTAAAAATTTTTTTGGTAATATAACAGCAATTTATTTCACCTAAATCCTTCAAGAATATTTTTCAATGAGATAAAACAAAACATACAAATAATCAAAACACAAATGAAAATTACAAAATACATAAAAATGAAATACATAACGTGCATAACGGAGATAGTTGCATGCATACAGGAATCCTAAAAATAACTTTGACTATACCACGTTTTTTAATCGCATCACAAGCTTGAAAACAAGTCATTTCCAATTTTTTGTTCAAAATTAGATTATATTGTCGATTCCTTCTTCAGAGATGAATACATGCTTTATAATGAAAAAAAAGACTACAAAATCTCTGTTTTCTTTGAGATCATGTTAAGCGTAGAAGATACGTTTCAAGCTCATTGGCAGATTACGTCACTTAAAATATGCTTTATTTAAGTGAATTCTTGGCATTCGAGTAAAAAACATGTCAATTATTTGCAGTTAGAGGGAAGAAGATTTTTGAAGTAAGCAAAAAACAGAACAGAAGATTTTTGAAGCAGGAAAAATATGGTTTTGATGGACGTTAATTAATATTTTTTATTCATGCCTCTGGATGAGGTTTATTAACTTATTTTTCAAACAAAATGGTATTTTCAAATGAGTGGAATAAAATGAGTTGTATGGCTTATATTGTTGGAAACAGAAAATAATAATTGCCTTTGTGTTCTTGCTTCATGTTGAAACAAAAGACTAGAATTTCTTTGTTGATAACTTCTTACTAAACTATAAATGCTATTAACATAAAAAAATTTCCTGGAGAGTTTCAGAAATTTTTAAATTCCAGTGTTAAAATCCTTGATTATATATACACAGAAAAATCAAGAACTTCGGCCGATGTTTGAATGGTTTTGTTTAACTTCTACTTAGCACAGAAGCCTGCGATTCCACCAGGATACTCAAAAACAAAGCTTAAATATGTAAATGTAGAATTGACCAGTGTTGTCTACTAGTCAGAAAGTGTAAACGGGAATTTATTTATGTATTCCAGGATGTATCCAGAATGTTACGTTCTGTTAGCTACCTATTAAATTTTGTTATTTGCTTCGTAATGTAATACCAATTCAGCCATATTCAGATTCTTGTTTTTTTATCTTCAACAACAAATAACATTAATTTGCTTTTGCTCAACAAAGATTATGAATTATTTTAGTATTTAATAGCTATGACGAAACGATTCTCTCTTTCATACGTTGTTCCTGCGGTTAAGATTAGACTAAAGACATTAAATGAACTCAGCCTATAGATAAAGCAAATTATTTCTTTTAAACTTTTCTTCATAACACACAAAGCTTATTTAATTTTGAAGAATAATTTTTGATTTTTAAAATAGTCATTTTGATCACTTCATTCATCGTCAAATTCCATTAGCAAGTTCTTGATATGAGGAGGATTTCAATAACAATAGAAGCTTTTGTTGTTAAATTAACTGAATTCTCTTTCACATGTAGTATATGTTGGTGACGCAATAAACTGGATAATTTTCATCAGACAGATATTTTTGAATCATTTTTATCTAATTTAAATATCTATACCGGTGATAGGATTAATATTTAACTGAGCGATAGTGAAACACAGTGCTAAAATTCTTAAGGGAATAAACATTTAAACGATCATATAAAAAAGAGGTAAGTCTGTTAAAAGCATTTTTAAATATTTTAAATATTTTTCTCATGTGAAATATTTTAAAATTACGTTAAAAACTCCCTTCATATATTTCTGTTAAAATTTATGTTTAGATTTTTTTACTGAAAACAGATTTTCTAGAAAACTTATTATAGAATTAATGTTTATTATTCATTGGAGTATTTTAGAGATACATATGTTATTCCTTTCCACCTTTTACTTTCTATCACCTAACCGTTATTTTAGCAATAGAATACTAGTATCATGGAACATAGGCTGCTAAAAATCTCTATTTAAATAAATATTATTATGAAAACATATGCTTGGATGTATGTAAAAATATAAGTCTCTCTTTCCATAATTTATGTATCTCTTACATATTTTAATATTTTCATAAAAGCGTTTATTTTGTCCCTTCTCGTCAATCCTTTATGAAACGTAAGTAGTATGTCTACATAGACTTTCGGTTAAATTTCCTTCCTGGCTGCAGATATACCAATAAAATATAAATAAAATATGTAGAAAATGTGTAATCTGTTGTGTAATGTGCAGTAAATACCTGCAAGAGTCATGGATAATACACTCTCAAGAAATATTATAATATTATGTTTGCAGACTGCTTTATGACAATATAGTGTGCGCCGGAATCTGTTATAAAAGATGTCGACTGAAAGAACGTATATTAGAGATGTTGTGTATTATTCAATCACGTTTACAGGTGTCTTGAGGTGGTCGCCATAAGGAGATTGTTGTCATAAGAAATTTCACTCTGTGTTAAAGGTTTTAAGTGTAGTATAAAAATATAGAATGCCATATAATGAGGTTTACTTAATTCTAAATACAAATCTGCTTTGCATTTCTTAATGATTTAACATTTTTATAAAGTATATTTTTAGATGTTAAGAGTGCAGTTGCATTTACAATGATAAATGATCATTGCATTAATTTCATTGAACGTTTCTTGAAAAAAAGTTCGCTACGGTTTACGATTTATCAGATTATTTAGTAAGAAATGCAAAGAAAGGGAGTTCCAAGGTCTTTCGTAAGTGGTTCCACTTATTCAATATTTCCACTATTTGAGTTTTAAAACGCGAGTTAAAACATAATTGAATTTATTCATGTCATCATTTTAGCTAAAGACCTGTATTTAATTCAATAATTTTAGAATTGAAACGAATTCATGGTGTTATCAAAACTAAAGAAAACAATACATAAATTTCAGAAAAATTTTTATGTTGCTATCCAAGTGAAAGAGACTGAAGCTTTTCCGTGAGTTAAAACATAATCATGCTCATTCCTATTATACAGTTTTTATTTACTTTAACAGCGCAAGAACTGCAAAAAATTATGATGTTATCGGAAATAGCGTAAAATCATAACTAAGTTTCTACAGAGGTTTAATTTGAAAGACTAGATTTAACCTACGAGCTTAAACGTAATCACGCACATTCATACCTTTTTGGTTATATTGCTTGAAAATCAGAGTTACAACATTGATTTTTTTATAATTTAAGGAGAGAAATCAATCAAAATTATAAATTACACACCTGTAAAAACATGCAAAAAAGTAATAATGAAATCTGTAAGCTAAATCTATGCAATGGAAAAACATCTTACTACAGAAATCATGCAAAAAACCAAAACAAAACAAAATTTTAGCTCAGTGATATTTGTATGCAAGTTCATGAACCCTTAGCAATTAACACCGTAAATAAATGATTTAAATTAAACAAGTAAATCTAAATATACATACATCATACTTAAAGTGACATCAAACATAGTAAGCAAAATAAAAACACAAGTAAAGCAAGCTAATGCCATACAGGGTTGAGACACTGAACATAAAAAAAAAAAAAAAAAAAAAAAAAAAAAAAAACAGATTAACATTATGCTACAGAAAAATAACAAAAAATTATGATTCTAAGAATAACACAGTGGAAATTTTGTGAATACATTTCAACGCTCCTGAAATGATTGATGATTAAATGCACTTCCAACTTTGTGATTGATGATTAGAAAAATGAAATTATAATTCTAAAGTCGTTATTGAACACAGTTATAAAATTAAGGTTTTGAAAAAAAGTGATGTTTCGTAACGTTCAAATTGAATTAAATCTTTTCACAGATATTTTTCTTTCATAATCTAACAGCTTATTAATAATTTCGTAAACGCATAAATTTCGAGGAAGACCATAATTGCATTAAACTGAAATATTTGGAATTGTTCGAAGAATTATTAACACAAATTTTATACTCTTCTTTATGCATTTTAATATGCAAGCAAACTTATTAAGCTGAAAGAAAAACTTATTATGTCTGAAAGAAACTTATGATAATAGTTACAGTATTACGTAAGAACTTAAAGATGACTAATATCATATTCTTTCTTTATAGTCAATTGTTATGTAGAAATAAAGATCTGAAAATGTTAAAATTTTGATATATATACTGAAAGGTATATTTTGCTTTTTAAATTAAAAACTCATTATTTTTTACATGAAGGACTGTTTTAATAAATTCATGTGCAGATTACTTACACGTTTTGAAAAGGGCAACAGTGCATCGTATGTTAATGCTAGAAATTTACATTTATTGAATTCTCTGCTGAAAACGTATTGCTTATAGTTCTTGTAAATACCACTGAAAAGCTAAATAATAATTTGAGACTGCAAAAATCATTCATAATCAGTATTAAAATATAAACAAATTGAGAGTCGTACCGAAACTGGAATTCGATAAAAATGTGTAAATGGCTCAAAACTACAGCACAATATTAGTGTCAGCGCGAAAGTGATAAAACGAAGGAAGAAGGTTGCAGTTTTGGGATTACTCCCAGGTGCTGATATGTTATGATACTGAAAATGAATGTATTGAAAATGCACATTTATTCTCTAGCATACTAAATGGAAATTTGAGCAATATAACAAAACGTCGATCAAAGTTTTGAACACGTGCATGCGAGAAATGATAAAATAAATTAAGGAAAAAAGAAATATTATCATAAAATTTTAGCATATTCAAATTCAGAATCAATGAGCTGAAATAGATATCAATATGTCTAATACTATTACAAAAAATATACGAATATAATAACCTAAAATTTGTTTTTATTAATTTATTACCTAGATTAACATTTCGATAACCTGAAATGGTCGGTTATTTCGAACAAAGCTTCATTAAAAGTAAAATTGTTTCTTCATTATCCTTAGTTTTATATTCAGGTTTAAACAATCCTGCATGAAAAAACGCTCATTAAAACAAACAAGTGTCCAATTAAAATGTTCTACAGAAAAATAAAATGTGTAAGATGTATGCTGTCAATTTTTAAGAATAAAGATTTAGGTAAATTTTCATTTCGCAAATGTATAACTTTTTGAAGGATGTTTGTTGTTCAGAAGTGAAGTTACTTGCATTTTTTTAAATAAAATTTCAAGTTAAATTCCGAGTAAGTCTAAGAAAAATGTTTTTTTTATATAATGTGTTAATATGTGTACTATTTCATGCCATAGTTCATGGTAAACGCCTTTAAGGAAATATTTTCTATAGGAAAATCGACTTAAATTTTATCATCTTCTGCCGAAGGACGATTTGAAAACGAAGGTGGAGTACTTATTTAAATGCAGAATTTCATCAATCACATCAGGTGCGTTGAAAGGTTCTCACAGTGCTAAAAATTTCAGAAATTCTTGCCTGTTCTTCTTTCTGCGGGCAACAAAGTAGTTGCCATTATAGCCACAGAATTACTCTTTCCCTTGGCATTGGCTGCATACAGAACTAGTATGTAAGACGTCGCCATTTTCAAGTCTGTAACCAAGAAAACTGGGCTATCTACAGTACTTATATTGGCAGTGAGGTGTTCGTCAGTTGAAGCGTACACTTCCAAATGAAATGTTTGGGCTAAGCCGCCATCATATCCTTGTTCGCACTGTATTAGAAGAGAGTCAACTGTCTGGTTCGTGACCTGACAGTTTCTCATTGTTGCTGGGGGACCTGAAATACAATTGTTTCATCTGTTTATCTGAATAAAGACTATAACGCGAGAAGATGCATTTCGCACTTGTGTGGAGGTAACATAAAATAACATATGCATAAAAAGAACCAATGAATTCCTCACAGTGTATTTGTTACGGGCAATGTATGAAAAACTGACATTTAATAAAATGCCTAGCATTTGTGGGCAAAATATAAAATATGCGAATTATTTTAATGTTATATATAATTACTTTATTTAGGAATTGTGTACAATACCTAGCAATTGTATACGACAGCCATTTTCTTTTAAGCTCCGCTGGATCGTAAAACAAGGCAAGAGTAAGAACAAAATGAATTTATTAGCAAAAGCTATGTACTAGTATGGTTACATTTCGAAAAAATCATCGCGAAGATCAGGCATTTTTCAACGGGGTGAAAGAGTTTCTCGATCCTCTCTTCGAAGACCGTTACTGCTAGTGATGTGAGGTGGTTCAACGTTGTTATGAGGCTCCCCATTGGTATGGAGCCTTTGGCCTTCCAGACAGTTTTCCGATTCAGATAAAAGGTGAAAGTCACTAAGTAGGGACTATTCTGGAGCATTTTAAACTCTTGATCACCCGGCGTATAATTCGGATTTAGCGCCGCAGGATTTCCATCTCTTCCTTGAATTGAAGAACTGGCTAAGAAGTATGCCAAAGATTCTAGACCAAAGAGAAATTTCAAAAAAACGTTCAGGCCCATTTAACAACATTGGCAGCAATTTTTTTGAAAAGTGTATTGGAAATCTCGTCCATCGATTTGAAAACTACCTAAGTTTTCACGGTGATTTTGTCGAAAATAATTACATTTGCACAAATTTTTTTGGAATAAATTGATCTTGTTCTTTATTTTTATCTTTTTTTTATGATCCATAGGAGAGGGAAAATAAAAGAACCTAGTTGTATAACAAATGCTATTGAGATAAAGTATTAAAATGTAATCATGGAGACCTTTTACTAAAAACACGCAATGCCGAAGATAAATAAAAATTTAAAAGATAAATAAATTCACTATGTAAATTCATTTTTTTTTTCATTAACATCACATCATATACACAAATAATAGTCTGGTGCTTCATTCTTAGTAGCCATAGTGGCCATTTCCTCCCTAAATTTTGGTAAGCAGGTAATTAAAACAAAGTTTTCACAGCATTGCCTTATAGTTTATGCTGATACATTTCTCACTGCATATCAGAATGCTGTGATTCTTCCTCCCATTCCACACTTTGTTCTTTCATTTTCACAGCAGCGCACTATGGCTAAAGTCGAATTTAAAGTTTTTCCTCAACAAATTCAAAGTAATGGTTTTCATCACTTCCGAACAAAGACTGAAATGCAGCATATTCTCAGTTGAGGACAGTGTCGAAAGTCATATCTCTAGAGTCTCGAGATTCAGAAGTCTCAACGAAATTCTAGAGATGTGACTTTCGACACTCTCCTCGACTGAGAATATGCTGCGTTTCAGTCTTTATATTTTTATGAAATTTTGTATTTCAGTCTTTCATTTCAGTCAGATATGCAGTGAGACTCATAAGTCTCATCGTTACACACTGGAAAAACCATGAAAACGTCCGTGCAGCCAGCTCCTTCATAGAGATTGGAACCCAGGTTGGAATTACCAGTCTTTAACGATTTCAATCGGTGTGCCTAAACTACATCTACATTTGAAACATCATTCGTGGGAGTATTTTAGATTTTGCCAGTTTGTCTTTTAGCACTACATAGAATGTCTACGCAATGTGTGAAATTTCATATGTTACATATTTTGACGTCTAATTTTCGGCATTCCGTATATTGCTAAGGTATCTGTATAATGCCGTCTTTCATTCATTGCCGATAACATATATAATAAATAACTCAGCCGATAACATATATAACAAGCCGATAATATATAATAAGAAACCAATCAATAATATTAAAATTTAAAATTCTTCATTGCATTTTAATCTTAAATTATTTCTAAAATTTACATTTTGATATAATTAAAATAATGACAGTCTGTTTATGTGTCAAAATATTCGCTTACAGAACTTAATAAGTTAATACCCTCTCAGCTTTCTTTCAAATTACACTTTGGGAAGCTCTTGATATCATGTTGACAGTCGTTTATAATGTTGAGGCTTAGAATTTGGAGGATTTTTTTAATGAAAAATCTATCAGTTTTAGAGATCAAAGTCTAGGTATGAAGTATGAAACAGACTCGAATTTAAAGGTTAACGGTTAAAATTGGCTGGATCGTTTTATATTGTGATGACGACAATTATCAGAAATAAAAATAATTTCAGATGCTAAAACCCTCTCCTATAACCCGATATGAATTTTATATTATATGTATGATGTATAATGTCGAATGTGTATACATGATGTATAATGTCGAATTTTCGGTACGAATAGTACGTGCCATAATCTAACATGTAATCACCCAAAACATCTTCTCTTTATTGAAGATACTAAAGCAAAAAGAATCAGCTTAATTTTCACAAATTTGCAAGACTAGTTTAGAAGCTTTGTCTAAAAACGTTTTTTGTTTTCAGCTGCAGGAGGGAAAAGAACGAAGATTCTATTAACAGGGGCTTTTCACCTAGTGTACTGACCAAGCGCTTAAAAAATTCTCTTCTCAACACAAAATTAGCATTCTTTCGTTTTAGGAGATTATAAAAATTCTATAGTTAATCCTTTTTTTTATCGATTAACAATCAAAGTGCTCACATTCTACAGAAATTGAATTTATCTGTTATTCTTTCATCTATGAATAAAATTCATAGTTTCATATTCAAAGACCTCCTATTCAGGATATGAATTTCTGGGGTTTATACAGTATTAGTTGCAAATCTGATTTAATATACATTAGTCAAAATAAGATAACCTTAATATTTCTCATAAGGAAGCATATTTTAAACAAAGATAACCCATAAATCCTTCGTTGCCCAGTAATTTTAATCAGAAAATAACATTTCCCATCTTTCTGCAGCCAAAATTATTTAAAAAAATCTGCCGTTATCAAATTAGATTTTCCAGAGGTGTTTAACGTTCTTAAACATTTTTAATGATCCAATTTCCAATCCGTCTTTACCCTCAGCCTTTAAGGAAATTATTTCATAGTTGTTTTCACTTTCTATCAATAGATGGCGCCACTAGCTTAGCATATTTCTTTTATGAAACTTCCTCATATTTTTTGGTTTCTTATCGCATAAGCGCAATTTTTCAGTCACCATTTTCACTCCTGCAGCTGAAGAAGCAGGTTTCATATTCATATCTTGCAAACAGTCCTCTAAATTTATGAACGCTGAATCTTTTTGCCTTAATATCTCCAATAATCGTTATTCGAAGTATTATTTTAATTCACACCATCTTCTCCCTTTTTACAGAAAAACCAGCTGAGTTTCTAAACATGTGGTTTATTCTCCCTTGCATTGCTTCAATTCTTTGCCTTGTGGCAATTTTTGAAATACACTATTGCTGTAGTAAGAAATTTGTAGCACGATGACGGTAAAAACTGAAAAATAGCATTTTTTGTGTTATAAAAGAAATCGTTGGAATCAAGGATCTTGTTTGCTTCCTCGCCCCTCCCCCCCCAAAAAAAAACTATGCTGAGATCAATCAGCTTCTTCCAAAAGCTTAGCAAATGGGGAAATATTAAAGTACTATTGCAACTTGAAGCGATATAAAATTACTATATACTGCAAATAACCATCTTGTTACTTGTAAACCGCTGCCATTAATTTATAGTCATGCTTACAAAATTGTCCATTAGTTTTGTTACAATCAGAAGAAAATTATTAATGTAAATAGACAGATTATAGTCGCATCATGTAGATAACGTTTCTGTTTTATATCGCTTTTTAATTAATTATGGTCTGAAAATAGCTATTTCTTTCAAAAACGAATAAAACTGTTTTGAAATGTGTAATCGCTCGTTAAATGGAAATAATCTGTAATAATATATGTATAAGAATATCAAATAAGATACTACATAACAAATCAAAACTCATTTCTGAAACAGTTTGGATGTTTATGAATTAATGTTTCTTCTAATAATCTTAATAAGCGCAATAATTCTGCTTCACTGATTTTTAAATCTTAATTAGAAAAGTTATTATGTTTCATTGATTTTACTAATGCGTGATAATTATCTGAATAAGTGTAGTGTGGTGTTTCGTTGATTTAACTAATTATTAATTGCCTTGTAAAGTGTTCCTCGGATTATAAATGTTTTTTTTTAAATATATTTATTAATTTTTTTTTTTCTGAATGAGAAAATTCTTTTAATGAATCTGCCTGGAGGTAAAGTGTGAGTCTAGAGATCAAAATTCTTTAATGCTTAATTATACGGTTACTTCTTTAAAATATTATTTTAGAATGCTGAAATAATTTCATATTTAAAAAATGAAGAATGAAATTATTTAAAGTACCTTTTATCCAAAATTATGTTATTTTCTGCATATTCTTATTGCATTTTATTTTATTTTGACTGTTTTATTATTTTTGGTGCTTGGTCTTGTTAGCTTAAATGTGTCAGTTTAAAATAATAAAATTTTACCAAGAATAAGGATCCGTCTTACATAAAACGGTTTTTATACAATTAACTTATTCATCTTTTCCTTTGCATGTAAAGTTATTAAAACTATTTTGCCAAATGCTAAAATGCTTAAATATGTAAAATCAATCTTAAATTCATCAGGTTTACACACTATTTCATGTTCTTCTTAAATTATTAATTACATTTCAAATTCAAATCTTCATCCATGTGACAACGGGGTTTCAGATCAGAATCTTTAAAATGCAAAATGCTATATAATAGTATACTTTTGACAATAATTTTCAATGCAGTTCTAAGCGCAATATCAGCTGTGAAAGAGCTGTGAAAGAGTTATTTGTTTATTTTTCTTTTTGAATTTTAGATGAAAAAAAAATAATGAAATTACTGAAGAAAAACACTTTTCGAGGAAAGAAGATGAGCGGAAGACTATATATCAGCAG